CTAACTTGAAATAAAGAGGGTATTAGGGGGCTGAATCTTAGTGTCCTGATCTATACCTCCACTGGACTCATTCCTCGATACCTATGAAACAAGGAGAACAGGATTTGGTGGGGGTGCTCTCCTGGGGAAGGAGTCATCTGTGTTGACCCAGAACACCTACAGTAGCTCGGGAACAACAGCCTTTCAGAGGCCGTGGCATTTGCCCCTGTTCAACTGCACCACTCTGACAGAAGAGTATTCTTAATATCCTGCATAAGTTTCTTGTTAGTTATGAGCAAAGACCATCTTTGGAGAGTACTCAGGTAAAGAGAGACGGCATGCTATGTTCTGTAATTAAAGACTGCTCAGGGGTTGGCGTGGTCTTCTGCCTTCTGCGGGGAGTCAAAGCAGATACATTTGGATTGGTTGGAAGGCTTGGACGCCCTTTGGCAGCATTTATAAGGAGCAGGATGAAAGGCAAGTGCTTTTCTTTTGAGCACAGAATTCTGATGAAGTTCCCAGAATGCTTTCCTTCGCTCTTCTTCTCCTTGCTTTAATTTCTACTGGTAAGTCTCAAAGAGGATTGATAAGTATCTATCTGGAATTAAGCTAACTCAAACAGAATTGCATTGGCTCAAATAAGATCTAGAGATGAAAAAGTATCTTATAAGGAGTGAGATGATGATGATGATGCATATTATTAACAATATTTGCTAGCTGCCAATTCCATATACATGTAATGTTGCACAGCGTTCCAGTCCCATAGGTGTGCATAGAATAGCTGAGGAATATTTCACCAGTAAAAAAATAAATTATGAGCCAATATTATCAGCAATAGAGAGTCTGTTGTATGCAGAAAGTCTTCAAGAGAGTGCTGTATACAATATGAGATCTGCACAGGATTGCAAGGCTTGCTAAAGTTTTAGTTTCCTTTACAGCAACTCGTATTGAATCAAAGCACAGAACAAAAACCAAAACCAGGCTTTGTATTCAGAAAATTTGATTCCATTTAGCATTGAGCAGTTTAATTTATTAGTATATCTATTTATTGTAATGATCTAATTTAGAAAGCCTTTAAAATATTTAATGAGACTAGTTGAACTAATCTAGCCTGGTGATTGATAGATAAATTAGGGATGGGAAGATTTGGCTAAACAAGTATTTGATGGGCAATAGTTCTGTCTTCCTGGCTCTACATGGAACAAAACTTGACTAACGATCATCTTATTCTTTCATTTGCGGGTTATTGCAGTGTCTTCTGAGCTTTGCTTTCTTAACAATTCCCTTTCTGCTAGAGCTGGGCTTGGAACAGAAAAACACAACGTCCCTGCTCAATATTCTGAGCATTAGAAATAAGGATCTGAAATGCAAGCGGAATGAAAAGTGGCATCACCCTTTTCCTCTTCAGCTAGGAAGCATTTTTGCAAGACTAAGCAGAGAAAGTAGCGGAGTGTCTGCTTGCACAGATAAGCTGTGCACTCTCAGAGACATGCCAGTTCATTCACCTAGCTCACAGTCTGTGGCCTGGTCCCTTCTGCTTTGGGGAGTGTCTTGTAGGACTGCAGAGGCACAAGGGGCTGGGCTAGATGTTGCTGCGGGCACTGGGGTCTGCACGTGGAACCAGGGGATCCTTCTGCATGTTCGTCCATGAGCTATTTGCAATCTTACTTATGTCCCAAGAAAAACTGTCACTGCACAACTCTCTACTTGCTTCCTGAAATGCAGATCTCTCTACTCTTTATTGCATTAGCTAGGAAGGGAAAATTGGGCTATACTTAAAAGCCTTAGAAACATAACCACGGGGCATGCCTGGAAGCAGCTTCTAATTGGTTAAATGTCTTAACTCTCTGTAGGAATCAAACTCTCTGTAACTAGAGTAAGAGATTCATCCTCAAGAAGGATTGCCAAACAGGAAAGTAGAGGTCATGCTGCTGTTATAATGTCTATATGCAAAGAGTTAACTTGGCACTTTTCATCTGTATAATCATGTTTTAGAAGAAAATCTCACCACTCAGCTTCTGCTCAAGGATAGTCAACATAGATGAACAGTTACTTTGTGTTAAGGCTATTGCTGCTTTAGTCAGCTTTCTGATCCCCAGAGTTACTACATTGTCCATCAAGACGCTTCTGAAAAAAAGTCTCTTGTATTTGCCAGTTGCTGCTGATACTGAATGTACCAAGTTAGGTGGGACATGTTTCGACTATCATCTGAAAAGATGTTGGAATGATATGCTTGAAGGGAAGTGCCATGGCCACAGCGACCGAAGATGCTGCCTGCCTTGCCGTTTATACTGTAAGCACAATGCAAATGCTCTTGTACTTTGCTTAAGAGGAACTTTTCTAGTTCTCTGAAGTGCACTTACGTAACACATAGTGGCTACCTAAACATAGTCTCACTGGTTTAAGGCCCAGAAGAGCAAGCAAATTCATTTTTTAATTCAAACTTTGCAGCAGACAGTAGATGGGCAGCACACATCTTTAACATTTGTTAAAATGTTGGGGGAGCTGCCTTTGAGGAACTTGCAAACTCTCTTTCCCCCATCCGCACCTCTGTGGGTCTGTATAGGACGATGAAAAGCTGCCAGAGTTAGCACGCTATGTTGGGTACCCTCACACAAGATGGGACTGTTGCAGAAAGATAAAGCACTGTCTTCAGGATATTGCTAAGGCAGCAAAATATATCACAGTAGCTGAATCTCTTTCCTCAATTAGTATGGCTGGAGTTTAACTTTAATTCTGAATTCCCAGTTTAAGTAACGTTGCAGAGCTTAGAGCCCACCCAGAGATCAAGAACTGGCAAACATATGTTGGAGCCTGTGCTTGCTTTTGGAAATACTTGGACAGGACTCACTTCTGGGAAAAGATTTTTATATGTAGCGCTTGGCCAGATAATTTAAGGAGCTGGTCATCCATCTACAAGTATTGGAAAGTTGGTATCAGCAAAAAATAGGAGAGTAGTGGAAGAACAGATGACATTGAGTTGATTAAGATTACCTTGGGTATGACACTGTAGACAATACTCTTTCATAATAGATTATAGACCTTCATGCTTGCTTCCATGACTCTGTGCCAGTGATCAGAAAGGCTGAAAATAGACAACCAGTTTGATTCACTGAATCATAGAAAATGAGGGTTGGAAGGGACCTCAGGAGGTCACATCTAGTCCAGCCCCCTGCTCCAAGCAGGAAAGGCCCCAACTAGATTATCCCAGCCAAGGCTGTGTCTAGCTGGGTCTTAAAAACCTCCAAGGATGGAGATACCACCACCTCTGTGGGTAACCTGTTCCAGTTCCTCCCACCAGAGTATTTTGGGCCTCTCCAAATCCAGACTTTACAGACAACCAAGCTCAACTTCCCACATTAAGTACCCATGAATTATTCAAATTAACACTTCACCTCAGAACAATTGTAGCTAATTTGACTTTTAAACCTAGACCACACCTGTTTTGGTGTGAATCATAGACTGAGCCAATGTAGTCTGGTTTTAGCCAAAGAGACCATCACTATGACAAAGCTTGTTATAAATCATATATAAACCGGAGAAGATCAATTGCTAACAGGGTTTTGTGAACAACACTGTTATTATTCTTTAGGTAAAATGAATGAGCACATGTGGATTATATTCAAGGACCACACCTGTTTGCTGAACAAAGGAATATGTCAGTTTAGCACCAATTACTGTTCTGGTTCATATACCAACTATAAATGCGGAGGCCCCTTGTCACGGCAATGCTGCTTGCCTTGTAAGTGCAGTGCTTGTGGTTTGGAAAACGTTGGTAATTTTGGATACAAAGCATCAGACTACTTTTTTCCCTCCCTTTTATTATTTAAAACCATGGGTTTTCCGCCTCCCTGCTCGACGCCCCCCCACCAGTTGATGTTTGAAAATATTTTGTGAGTTGTGCATTTGAACTAGGGAAAGGCTTGCCCCCTGTCCCATATGAATTGAATGAATAAAGTTGAACTGAACTAATTTTTTTCATGTAAACCTTTATGAAAAATGGCCTTTTCCACATTTGAAAAAAAAACCCCTCCACTTCTTTTTTTCCCAAACAGGAGATTGTTTTGGCATTTCAAAATCTGAGATTCAAAATTCAAGATTGTTCGATTGTCCCTTTTTGACTACATTTCCCTTTTCTGTAAATGTCTGAGTATTTCTCTCTCGGTTCATTTGCATTGCCCCTCCCACCCTTCTCTAATTTTTAAAGGCAATGGTTTTGTCTGAGCTTGTAAGATCTGGAACTCCTTGTGCAGTTTTTTGCCAGGTCAAAGAGGCAATGTCACTTAATTCACGAGTTTGCTATGACGCACAGCTAGAGGGGACACATGGAAGAAAGTGGGTTGAGAGTACGAGTATCCCATCAGATAGCAATATGTAACCTCGCTTTTCTCTTTGTATTTTCTAGCAAGGATGAGTCCTGTCTGGCCACTGGCAAGGTGAAGAGTCCTTTCTGGCCACCAACAGCGTGAAGAGCCAAAGATATAAACTTAACTGCCAGTTCCCAGCTTTCACCAACTAACTGCACTCCTCCCTTCCCCAAAATAACAGATTGCCTTATTCATGCTTCAGCCTACTTCTCTATTTCTTGAGTTTCCTGTAATTTTATTTAGCCACATAATGGTAGACTTTCCTATTTTCTTTTCACCATAGTCAAGATCATAAGCATGTGTCTTTTCTTGCTGTTCACTCACAGGGGACGGCACCTGTTAGATGAGATAGATCAAACAGGGATAATAAAACATTATGTAACCGGGTAGGAGGAATTTTAGTTTGTGATGAATTGAAAAACATTTCCTGAACAGCCTCACAAGAACCTGGTTGTGTATAGCAGTGGTTCTCAACCATTTTAGACTCAACGCATCCCTTGGAAAATGCCACCTCTGAGTTTTCACTCATTTTTTGACTGCTGAAAGATACTAGAGCAATTCTGTTGCAAAAAAATCAGGAAGACCACAACAGGTCGGCATGGTTTTAGCACAGTGGATCCTTATTTGAAATCTCTGGGTTTATCGTATGACTCATGTCTGCACACCTCACAGTGCTAACATTGTGTGACATACTGCAGCTCCCTGGCTGAGACTCACTGGTGATGAGCTTTTCCAGCCTAAGATTACTGGCTTGTGTTTTACCTTGCATAGAGGCAGGTAGAAGGCAGGGCAGGGTGGCACCTTAGAGACTTATTGGTTCAGAGAGCCATGAGCTTTCACAGGCAACAGCCAGCTTGTGAATGGATGTGCTATGAATGACAAGTCCATTCATAGCATCTGATAAACTAGGCTGTTGTTGATGAAAGCTCATGTCTCGCTCAACCAGATAAGTCCATAAGTGACCGCCTTGCCCCAACTTCTGCCTGATTTCACACTAGCATGGAAAACCACATCTTTGTCCAGTGGGTACTGCTGGTCTAATATCTTCTCAAGAAGGGGAGATGGTTGTGGAAGGGTGTGCGAAAGCATGCTTGTGTCTGAAGTATCTGCCCAGATATCTTAACAATCACTTGAACGGTCTTTCCATCCCTAGCCTATTCATTATTAGCTAAAATTTGGGATTTTGCTGCAGGCTGCTGAAAAAGTTAAGAGAAAGATGCTTCAAACCAGAACTCTTGGTCTTTATAGGTCTTCTTGTCTCAGACCAACATGGCTACCAAGTACACCCCAGAGAAAGATACTTGAAATTTGTCCTTGAGTTTTACCTCTATCTTTCTCACTCCCCCATTTTATTTTTAAATGAATTGCTCTGTTGCCAAAAAAAAGAAAGAATGAAAGACCGAGCTAATTGTATGGTGCTGTATAAAACCACATAACTGCCGTTTGCCAAAGGCATTGGAATTTCACCACTGAATATTATCTCCCCTTCTGGGACCCCTCAGAGACATGGCCAGTCACCGTTGGTATTTAGCTTTACAAATTTAGTCTTTAAAATTCCCTGATCGTGTTTGATTGGCTAGGAATATGGATGCAGCCTCTGCAGGAATACACAGATATAAAGCAAAGCATCTCCAACCTTTCACTTGAACACGGAGCTCTGGTGGCAGATGAAAAATGTACCCAATCACCGTGATCGCTTTTGCTTTTGTGATTCCATCTGGTAAGTCCAAATCATGCTGTAAAAGTCACGGATGCTAAACCTGTGGGGGGTGTAAGGTTTATGGACCAATTTGGGATTCACTTCATTCTTGCTATTGAAAACTCCCTAAAATTCAAATGCTTTGCATATTTTTAACAGAAAAGTCCTTTCAAGTTGCCATGCAATAAAACAAAGCATTAATCTATGTCTCCTTCATGAAAAGGAATAGACTTGTTACAGTATATTAATTCCAGCAGGTTTTACTTAGATCCTCTAAATGGCAAAAAAGACCATTTTAGATTGATTTTATCTGGCATCCTGTGTTCAAAGAAATTATAGATTTTTTGTTCCCCTGAATTTTAAAGGAACTTGCTGCTGTTTAATTTAAGCTTATCTAGTGGTATAGACAGTCTATATCGTTTTACTGTTAAAACTTTTGTAACAGTTCTTTTTTCCAGGTAGCCAAGAACGACTAAAGAAAACAGGTTTGAGTAAGATAGATACACTTTTTACCATAACGCTTATTTTTATAAATGTTGTAGTCCCTTCAGAGAACTACTGGTAGCTCAGAAAATGTTCATATCCTTCCTTCACTGCTGTACAGGTGAAAAGGTCTCTGAGCTAGGCCTTCTATTAGATCCTTTGAATAACAGCAGAGTGTATTTAAAATATTTATATTATATGTGAAAAGTAATCTTCCTATTGAAACGTCAGTCCACACACTGTAATGCATTTTCCCATATATCAGCTATCTGATTAGCTGAACTCATTGTGACTATGATATAAACTATTTGTGCCTAGCACTGAGTGTATCTTGTTTCCTCTACTGTTAACGTGATTGCAATGGTCATAATGGCCATAGTGGAAGTGCACATGTTGCGGCTTCTAACGAATCTGAAAATCTGATAAATACCTGTCATCAATAATCTCAGACAGGACATGAGAAGAAGAATCGTGAGGAGGCAGCTGCCAGCTCAACCCAACATGTTCTTATAGACTTATTTCTATATGCAACTGTTGACCCCTTAGCTCACATGGAATTATTCCACAACTAAAATAAATGGTGTATACCTAGAAATGGTCATTATTCAACCTGCACAAGGAATATAGGATCTGGCTAGAGAACATTTGTCCCCGGCCCTAAAAGCACTTAAACCATGTACATAACTTTGTTCATTTCAGTACATTCTCCGTGACTGATGGGATTACTGGGGCAGGTCTTCCATGTGTGTAAGGTGCTGTAGGATTGGTCCTTGGCGTGACTATTTCTTGCTTGATCCACCCAAATCTTAGAACACTGAGCAACCACAAAGCATTCTGGGATTGATAGAAAACCCAGAAACCCTGGAGGAGAGTGGGGGGAACCGGTGGGGCCAGAAGTAGCTGGTATAAACATGCTGGGGTTATTTCGCCAACATGGTGAAATAATCCTCCCCAAGATTCCTGAGGCGGTGTCCTGGATGGCTGGATGGTGAGCAGGAAAACTCTTCCCTTCCTGCCCCACCAAGCCTCACAGCTGCATGTGTGGAGGCAGCTCTCCTGTGGGAGGTTGTGGAACTAGAGAAGAGTTTGATCTTAATCTTCTACATGCAAAATGAACCGTACTGACTGCAAATACTTGCACAGGAAAGCTGTGAGTACAAGGAAGAGTGATGTGGCAAAGCACTTTGCAAATCCCAAGATTTGCAATAAGGTCCCCCAGGCCACATTCAAGCAAGGATCTTCTGTGGGCTGATCCCCTGTTTAGGATAAAACCAAACAGAATGGACGAAGAGGCTTGGACCCAGAGCTGTGCTACTGTTGCTGTCAACAGGCAGTGAACAAGTTATAAAAATACAGGAGCAAATCTAGGATTGTAGAAGGTGGGGGGGGGCAGTCAGATAGTGGGGTGTCCAACTCCTGTGGCTCTGCAGACCCTCCCTGTTTCCCCTCTCACCTATTGTACTCATCAGCGGTGACTTAAGACCCTGAAGTTGGCAACAGGCAAGCAGGTTGGGGGGTGGGCAATAGGGCTGTGTGAGGCTTCGGGTGCTGATTCGATTCAGAGGAGGTTCAGCCCGATTTGGTGGCTGAATCTCCAAATCCGAATTGAATAAAGGAAACGATAAAAAGGTCCAAATCGATTCAAAGCTCTCTGAATCTTCAGAAAAGATTTGGAGAGCTTCAATGATTAGGTCAGTCCCTGCCCGCTGCAGCAGGGAGCTGGAGCCGGACTTGGAGCAGGTAAGTAGAGGACAAGGGAGGGGGGTTGGAGGGGGGAGGGGACCATGGGGGGACCCCTGCCAGGCCCCATCCCCTGCCTGCTCCCTCAGCCCCCGCCATGGCTGCCCTGCCCGACCAATCTCCAAATCAGAGTCGGCCGAATCGATTTGGGGCAGTGATCTGAAACGCCGAATCAAACCACTGTCCCCTGAATCAGCCAAATCCAAAGCAAATACTAGCCACTTCACACAGGCCTAGTGGGCAGCAGTGGCCTTTGACCCCTGGGTCCCACACTACAAGCAGACTATATAATCAAAGTGGGGTAAAGGGAACAACTGCATCATTGCACCTTCCCCCTCCTACCCACACCATCTCTGCTAAATATGAGGTCAAAAGACAAACAATTTTTGCAGTGCTTCCAAAACCGCTGAGAAGTTAGAGTTTAAACTTTCTCCTCCTCCAAACCCTAACCCAAAGACCACAGACCTCAACAGGAGACCTACCACAAACTCAGTGGCTTTGGATTGTGCTCTTAAATTCCACCCCAAAAAAAGACTTAAAATGTGTCAATTGACAATTACTGTCCCTAAAAGAGGGGAAGGCCAATGACAGCTGGGTGCTTATTCCTTTTTGCCTCTTTTTGAAGCTTTTGCAGGGCCCTGGGCAAATATATGTTCAACTCAGCTGGCAAACAGAGTAAGAGGCTGCGATTCCAAAGGCTGCGGAGGATACACCAATGAAAGGTACAGCAACAAGGACTAAGGGGCACTGACAGCTAGGGTATATCAAACTCTGTTTAAAGGACAACATTTGGCTGTGGCAGAAAATAAGGAGGGTAGAAAATGTGTATGTGAAAGGGACTGCAGGATTGAGCAACCGTCTGTTCAAGGCATAGACAGCAAACAGCACGGGCAGCGTTTCATCCAAAATAGTCCATCCAAGAAGGCCCATGTGTAGATGAGGCTACTTTGGTGGGCAACAGCAGGTCATCTGAAGTCAAGGGAAGATGCAGGTTAACCTCTGGTAAAAGTCTGGACCCCACTGAAGCCAATGGAAAAATTCCCATAGATTTGATTGGAGCCAGAATTCCTCCCCACCCCCAGCTGCGTGAAAGCAAGAATCCAACCTGAGAAACGCCTTTTGAAAAACTGGAAAATGCAAGGTTTTCTGTTCTTATTTAAGGCTTTCAAATCTAATAGTACAAGCAAGTCAGCATGAGAATGCAGTAGTTTCTGCAGAGCGTTATTGCATTCCCCATTGTGTTTCATTACCTCAATGATGTGCACGTTTACACGGCTATTTACACATGCCCACCTTTTCCAGAGGAAGCCAGATGCATCAGGGGGTAGATGTCATCTGCAAGGATGGATCAGTCGTGTATTCGCCATTCACTGGAAACATTGACAGAAAAGTTAAGCCTTATGGAAACCGTAATGCCATTGATAATGGCATTCAGCTTTCTGGATCAGGTAACCAAGATGAAGTACTTCTGTATTTCCTAACCTTAATGATGGAGTATATATATACCCCACTCTGATTATTACTAACTGAAAAATCAGAACTTAACTAAGCTAGGAGTCATTTGTATTGGCTCATTTTTAATGCACAATTCAAACAGAACTGCCACGTTCTGGCTTTTGAATCCAGGAGGGAAAAAAGCTAGAAACCCACTAGGCCAGTTGCCGTTTCTACAGGAAAATTTACTACAGTTCTCACTTTTAGATCTCCCTCATCAAAGGTGAGAAGATCAATGACAACAAACTCTTCCCGTGTGACAGCCTAACTTCAGACAAAACCCCAAAATGAGGACTCTTCTGAACGGCAGAGTTAATTTTCTTAAGAGGAATGAAGTTTTCTGTCACTTGAGTTTCATGAAGCAGCTATTCTGAAGCCAGCAGTCTAAAGGCAATAGTGAGCTGCTGCTCGATACGTAGCTCAGGTGCACAACCCCCAGAGAACAGGAATCTGTTGCAGCCTGAATTCAAGAGCTTCAGGTTAACGTAGTCTGGAGATCCATGATTCAGTGTCTACCGTGTGTGTCAAAGTGGTAGGCACCACACAGTCAACCTCAAACTTACGAGGATGTGTATGTATGGGTCTGAGAAAGTAATGATGGACTAGGTGCAAAAATGTTTGAAATTTGGATTCAGCAGGTCCTAACAAGGTTAGCTGCTTTTCAGTAGTACACAGGAAACCTTCCGATACTTTAGATTTAAAAGCCAAGGGCAGGGCCTAGTAAAGTGTCTGAAACATATAGCTCCAAATGCATTATTCGAGTTATAATTAATATTGAGAACATTCAGAGTCCATATTGGGCCTTCTAATTGAATTACTAAGACAGCTGCTAAGTCATTTTCATACAACTAATCATTTTCTTCTTTCTCTCTCTCTTTTCCTTTGAAAAGGACATTGCGTTAAGATGTTTCATATCAAACCATTCAAGAGCAGAGGGCCCATCAAGAAAGGCCAGAGACTTGGTATAATGCTCCCAATGCAAAAAGTGTACCCTGGAATTACATCTCACGTTCACATCCAGAATTGTGACTTGACCGATCCAACTCACTACTTGTAAATGGAAAAGCACAAATGTGAACCAAAGCTTTTGAGCTATTGCCTGTGTAGTTAAAACTGTTTCTCTCTAAATAATGGAGCCAATAAAATGGAAGCCCTTTTATAATGAACTGTGGTCCTTTTGTTGGGGCTTTGAGGAGTGAGGTGCTAAAGCTACTTATTCATAGACTGTCAGGGGCTGGAAGGGACCTTGCAGATCATCAGGTCCAGCGCCCCTGCTCTAGGCAGGAAGACAACTGGGGCTAGGTGACCCCAGCGAGGCGACTGTCCAGTCTCCTCTTGAAAACCTCCAGGGTAGGTGACTGCATCACCTCTGGAGGGAGTTTGGTCCACAGTCTGGACACCCTGACTGTGAAGGAGTTTTTCCTGGTATTAAGCCTGAAGCGGCCTTCCAGGAGTTTGTATGCATTGGTCCTGGTCTTCCGTGAGGGTGCCCTAGTGAACCAAGCTCCTGATGCAGTCCTCTGATATAGCGGTAAGCCGCTATCAAGTCTCCTCTCAACCTTCTCTTCTCTAGGCTAAAGAGGCCCAGATCCCTCAGCCTTTCCTCGTATGGCTTGCCTTGCAAGTCCCTAATCTTACAGGTGGCTCTTTTCTAGACCCTCTCAAGTTTTTCCATGTCCTTGTTGAAAAGCGGCACCCAGAACGAGACGCAGTACTCCAGTTGCAGTCTCACCAGTGCTGACTACAGTGGGAGTATCGCTACCCTAGTTTTACACGAGATGCATTGGTTGATGCATGTCAGCATGTTATTTGCTGTGCTGGCCACCACATTGCACTGACAGCTCATGTTCATGCTATGGTCAACCATTACCCCTAGGTCCCTTTCAGCCGTGGTGCAAGTCAAGCTGTCACCACGAGCCTGTACATATGTTGAGGGTTGTTTGCCCCCAGATGGAGCACCTTACACTTGGACGTGCCCAACTTCATCTGGTTCCAGTTTGCCCAACTCTCGAGCCTGTGCAGGTCCGCCTGCATCCACAACCTATCTCCTCTACGGCTACGCTCCAATCATGCAAGGGGGCCCACCAGATCTCCGTGATCCCTACCAGGTCATATTGCTCACTAGACAGCAGGAGGGCTAGCTCTTCCTCCTTGTTCCCCATGCTCCTGGCATTAGCGTACAGGCAGCTGCGGGCCACAACTCACACCCTGGATTTCCTGAGATGCTGCGGGAGAACGGTTTGGTTAGCATTTTCAAAACCAGTTGTGCTAGCGTCCTCCGCAAGGGAGCTTTCCTGTGTGCCAGTCCCCCGGCCCGCTCCACTGGGAGTTTCTCCATCCCCCAACAAACTCCTTGATCCTCTCCCAGTAGGGTAAACACTTACTGACAGGATGGGGTATGTCAGGGAAACATTTCCAGTGTGTTACCGGAAACTTCGGTAACTAAGCCAAGGTAAAGGCGCATGGATAAGTTACTTGCCAAACTCTGACCTTTGATCTGCACAAACATTATGTCACTGGGAACCGGGTGGGTATCTGAGGAAAGTCTACAATGATCTTCATTTCCAACATCTTCTTTCACCCATTCATTTCACCTCTTGCTATGTGGTTTGCTATAAACCACCTACCAGCATACCCCCGAACACATATACTGTAAACCTTTTAAGCTGTCTCTAACTACATATGTGCAAGACAGAGGTTGGAACAGCCTGTAAAAAAATTCAAATTTTCAATGTAAAAATTAAAATTCAGATTTCCTCGGGGTGGGGGAAAGTCTGAATTTCCTGGTTTTAGACAAAGGGATTTCATTTTTGACGCCCCACCCCTAAAAAAACCCAAACAAAAAACCTACAGCCGGTATTTCTCACAGGAAATTCACTCACTCCTGTGGAAAATATCATTTAGTCAAATTCCCTATTTTCCACCTTTTTTTTTTTCCTAAGCCAATTTCCAAAGTTTAACCTTCTGCACGGACATCAGTAAGAGCAATATAACTTGCTGGATATCAAAAACATCCCATTACAAGCTCCGCTCTAAATACCCATTGCAACATGTGGAGTGCCCTGGGGGAACCTGGGTTGGAAGTACAGGATTCAAGGAAACAAGGCTGACACCTGTGTGTGTCACGGGTGTGTCTTCTAGAGGAACAATGCCTTGTGTATGACAGCTGTGTGTGTCACGGGTGTGTCTTCTAGAGGAACCAAATCCAAAAATCCCCTAGTGGTGCTACCTTTTCAAGGTCTTCCCGATTGTGCCATAATCAGTCTTCTCCACGTCTCTCTTAGCTGTAACTCTGGTTACTGAGCACAGGCACATCATGGGTATCCTGCACTCACCTTCACAAAACAAAGCTATAAGCCAGCTGTAGAGAGGAGTGAGGATGCCACATACAGCCAGAGGTCCTGCAGTTACAGGAGGAGTCCAGGCAGTTTTTGTACTGGGATGGCTGGGCCAGTTAAGGGTGTGGTACTGGAGTGGCTGCAGTTCTCCCCATATAAAGAATAAATATAACCAGCATCATTAATTCTCCTACCACCTTTGAGCACCTTCGTACAAACAGAACTACACTGCTAGAGAGGGGGGAGGGTTTAAGTAGCTCATTCATTTCTCCTGGTAGACATTTCTGAGAAATGTCCACCCCTGGAAATGTTTCTGGGAGAGGGAGTGTACAATGCATTCAGCCTGCAACCGCTCCCTCTCCTCTGCTCTTTATTGTCTGCGTATTTATTGTTTTACCAGTGTATTCACTGTACTGGCGCATTTATCATTTTACCAGCCCTGTTAGAACATATCTCGGAACAGTCTGCCCTTGCGTCCATCGGACCATCCTTCCCCCCTCCAAGTGTCATGATATAAACTGCTGCCCACGTCTGTATGTCCTTACCCACCTCATCTCTATCTTGCTGTATTGCCACAAAGTACTCTGAAACAAGGACCTTGACTTCTTGCCCACATGCAATATAGCCAGCATACAGCTTGTGCAAAACAAACAACAGGCTGGATTTCTTGGCTCTCGGTTCTGCTCTGGAGGCACAAAGATTATGAAAATTTACTTTCAACTGCTAGTGGAGAATTCCCCTGGCATTGCTGAGTCTACACTCCTCAGCCTTCCCCTAAAGTTAAGTGTGTTTTACTCTGAACAACTGGTTTTCCTCTGAAAACAGCAGACGTTCTAGGCACTTTTTATACTACAAGTATATTACATTTGGCTGCTGGGGCCACGTGGCTGAGGGCAAGCGAAACCCAGGGGCATCCGAATCCCAAGCGTCCATCCTTGGACCTGCATGTAAAATGCCCGCCAAAAGATTTGGAAGCATCTGCAGCCCCAGGCGGGAGTGGAGGATGTTTGCTGGTAGTAGGGCCGCATTTGGTTCTTGAATGACTCACGGATTTGGCTGATTTGGCTTTGGAAGATGAAAATTTTTCCTTAAAAGAAAAAAAATTACATTTGCCTGCTGTGTTCTCTGTGATGTTAGTGGGCAGTTGTAATAATCATATATTTAGAGATGCAAGAGACATGAGTTATTTACAAAGTCTCAGTAGAATTGATTTCATCTGACCCATCTTTCCCTACTTTTCACTGATTCTAAGGGTCTGACACCTATATTTTTGACACCTGTGTCCCTTTTTTCCCCACCTCTCTCAAAGTCAAGATGGGTAGCGTAGCAAAACCCCCAGTTCTTCTTTCTTTTTTTTTTTTTTAACTTAAAATGCTTTCCCTCCCCTTCCCCAACCATTTCTGACTTGTTCTCTCCCTCTCTATTCCCTATAGATAAGTATAAGTGAGCTAAGACATAGCATAAGCTTCAGCATTTTATTTTGGTAGCAAGTTGTATTTGTTTTGTTTTTTCTCCTTCTTTATATTGCCTAATTATTATGTTTATAGGGATTTTTACTGTTCTATATTACTGTTTACTGATACTATATGATTTACACCTACATATGTAAGTTAGCATAAGTCATGTCAAGTTTCCGTTTTGTTGGTCAAGTCTCCATCTTGTCCCCATGCCCGGTTGTGTAACCCAGGACTCACACCTACCCTTCCTATGCAACTTGGTTCCTGAATGAATGGGGATGAATGAGGGTGCTTGAGACAATGGCAGCGGGTCTAAAAATAGCTCCCTCTGAATGACCGAACCACCAACACCAATACCTGGACCAACGACCCACCACTTTGGTCCACCAACCACCAGTTATCGCCCCTCCCTCCCCCCAGTATCTCAGCAGTCTGCCTCAGTTTCCAGCCCCAAGCTCCCAGGTTTCTGCCTCTCTCTCTTCCCTGGCTGTCTCCTCCTTGCCACCAGGCTTTTTTTTTTTCTTTTTTTCTCTCTTCCACCAGTGACCTCGAGTAACTCCAAGCCTCAGTTACTCAGCCAGCTTCTCTCTAGTCCACCGGTTCTAAACCCAGTTCTGGCAACTTTCACTCCCTGCATTTTAACTCTCTCACCTTAACCTTCCCCCAAGTATCCCAGGTACCCCAAGCACGCAAATACATACTGTACAATCCAAGTTAGGAACTCACCTGTGTGTAGGTGGGTTGTATGTGTGTGAACTAGTGAGTGTGTGCATGTGTATATATACGTGTCATTGTGTGCATGATATACAAATTAGTGATCTGTGTATGTGTACTGAGTGTGCAGGTATGGACAATTGATTTTTGTCCAACTTTTGGGGTGTATAGTGTATGTGCTTGAACTGGTGATAGGTATGCATGTGCCTAGGCTGGTTTGGATATATGTGTGTGTGTGTGTGTGTGTGTGTGTGTGTGCGCGCGCACCCAATTGATTTGTGTGTTTGTATATGTGCAGTTGTGTCACACCCTCCTGTCTAACAGTGCAATATTGAGATCCTGAGAGTTGGCCTGACCCCACAGGGCAACAGTAGGCCATAACACAGATATGGCTTCTCCAGCCTGGTGCAATGCCTCAGTGACTGATTCACTTCTGTTTTAGGCCACATACAGGTGTTACATTTCCACCAGGAGAATGGCTGCTCTTCTGGTAGAGAGTACAAGCGTACATTAGAGGACATTCCAGTTTTCTGCTACTCTGTCCACTATCGATATGAAACTGGACGCATTTATGTCCTCTATTTTTCTCTTGAAGAGAAAAATAGAGGACATAAAGGCATTGGGTTTTGTATCAATAGAGGACAGAGGACAACTCGACTGTCCTCTACAATGGCCACCCTAGCATACATTCAATTTCTCCTTGTAGAAAACACTCAGCCCCTGGTGTCAACCTGGAAGGAAGTCTCCCAAGAATAAACTCTCTCTCCTGGTCTGGTCTGGGAGGAGAAGGGAGCAGCACCCACTGCTCCCTGCCTTTTCCCCAAGCTAGGGACTGCCCAGTCCGGAGAATGAGCCGTGGCAGTGATTTTTAAGTCAGCAGGGCTGGAGGCTCTCCCCTCAGCCCATTTCCTGTCCACCACTTTTTTCCCCTTGTGGCCCTCGCTGCCCAGCTGGATGGCGGCGAGTTCCAAGCTGGAGAGGCCAGGAAGCAGGCTAAAGAAGGCTTTCCTCATTCTGGTTTGGGACCCTGAAGGCTTTCAATGCTCTGTGCCCAGCCGGGTCTCACACGCAGTGATTGAAAAGACCGTGGAACCCAGAAAGACTGTCCACTCCCAGGGGCAGTGGAGCAATGCTTCCCAAGCTCGCTCAGCCCGGGGACTGGTCTGGGGAACAGCCCTGCTGCTGCACTCCCTTCCCAGGCTGGTCTATGGGAGCAGAGTGCAGTGACAGTGAAAGACTCCCCACCCCTTCCCCAGACCCAGGCGTCCCCAAGGAGCCTTTTCCCATTCCTCCACCATACCCTCCAGGAGCAGCACTGCTCCCCACACGTCCCCCGGACGTGGATCACCCTGGTCTCGGGAAGGAACAAAGAGCAGAGGAGAGGGAGCGGTTGCAGGCTGAATGCATTGTACACTCCCTCTCCCAGAAACATTTCCAGGGGTGGACATTTCTCAGAAACGTCTACCAGTAGAAATGAATGGCCTAAGTTGCCAGTTGTATTCCTCTTTCACAACCAGACTTATCGACAGCATTTCTGGTTTATTGTTCTGTTGCAATCCAGGAAATGATACTGAAGGCTGAAGTTCGACTGGGTCCAGGAGAGTATATAAACAAAACTAGATGCACCACATCACATCCTTGACTCGATCAAGAAGACACTAGTGAGAAAGCTGCAAAAATGTTGACAATCAAGGTGATCATTCTTGCTGGCTTACTGTCCATCGGTAAGTTCATACGGATATTTGATACAATTTGCTAATCTCTTTTTCAAGCTTCCTAGGAGAGGTTCCCTAGCTTTGCTATGAAGTAAATATTCTTGCAGGGAACATTCCTTCCAGATGGACTTGTCTTGTGAAGGCTTAAGGCAAAATGCAATATTTTATTAACATTTTTCTCCAAGGAAATATAAAAACCTTCCTGTACAAACTATTTTATTAGCAATTTGGAGTGCATGCTATAACACATTAAAGGCTTGTCTCTGCAGAGCCCTTTAAAAATATTAAGGTAAATCAACTAGAGGTCCCTTGCTAAAGGGAACTCGGGCCACTTTATACCTGAAGAAAAGTCCTTATGGGGGGATTTACAATGCTTTCGTTTATGCACATAGTCCTCATCCCTTTATTTGATTGCCTTTACTTTCCTTGAGCATCCCAATATAAATTGGAGCTTACTGGTTCTAGGCCAAGTTAACTGGTTTTAGATTAATTCCAGATTAAGACACGAGACAAATACCTGCACTCCAGTTGCTGGCATCGCTCTATTCCTTAGCGAGCAGAACCACAGTCTTAAAGCAAACGACTCTATTAGACAAAGTCACACAAAGAAGCTATGACCAAGCTACAGCCTTCAAGACTGGCAGAAATGACCCACTTCTGTCCTCATCATCAACACTGCGTCATTGAGTTTAGCCCTTGAGCTAAAAGCCAGACCCATAGTCTGTGGCCTCGAGCACATTAAGGTTTACTTGCTTAATATCATTTTGTATTAATTCACTGGAGTTGTATTCAAATCAAACAAGGCGACAAGGCTGCCAGCCATTTAACCGCGCTGATTTAGAACATCGTTAGATAGTCTAAATTAGATCGTCTAATTGCATCATTAGATGACACGATGCTTAAAATGAGAATATATGATTATATATATGTCCTGTGTCATTATATATACTATGTTAACTCTGCGTTAACATGAGTGAAAGCAACTGTATAAAGAAAAGTCCCAGACAGCTGTGTCATGGAAACAAGGCTTGAGCTTACACTTGCTAACTACTCTCTTGTACAAGACTAGATAACTCCCTTCGGCTGTGTATGTTTTATTTTTTCCTACAGTTGTGGCGGGACCCTGGGGACAAATATGTGTTGGCAACCCCAGAAATAGTAGAAGGACTTGTGATCCCCATGGCTGTGGACACTATAATGCTCCAAGGTAAAATACAATGTGATATACTAATAGATAGTTCAATATTATTGTGCCTAACCAGCGTTTAAAAGGTACAGAGTCCCACTTGGATTTAAGATTGTAAAGTTAATACTATGAATAAATAGGCACAGGAGTACAGTAGCTCCAATAGTATTGTATAGTTTCATTCTGCAGAGATTACATGCCCTCCACATACGTCCACAAAGGCCAGAATGTAAATCTCTATTATCTGTTTTATCCGTAAACACTTTCAGACTAAATGGGAAGCATCTAGGGGTGGATGTGTTATGTCAGGATGGATCAACAGTGCGGGCACCTTTCAGTGGAAGAATTATCAGGCAGGCAAAGCCTTATAGACGTGATAATGCTATTAACAACGGTGTCCACCTTTCTGGATCAGGTAAGTGAGACAAACTGCTTCCATATTTCTTAAACTTTAAAATCACTAGATACCGATACAATATGTTGGGTCATTCACAGAGATACATTAAAACCACATATGTATATATGTGCAGTTAGCACCCTGCCCAGGTGGCCCTGGGGGGCTCTGCTGCCCCGGAGGGAAGCACCAGGCCCTGCTGCAGCTCAGGGGCTGAGCGATCTGGTGGTAGCTTGCAGGGTCAGGCTCCAGCAAGGCAAGAAACCCACAGCGAGTCCTGCCCCACAGTGACCCGGGGGGGGGGGAAGGGGAGAAGGTGTCCCCCACAGCTGATTGCGAGACGGGCGATCACTGTGGCCGGTCATTGTGGTTGCTTCCAGAAGAGCACCATGGCACTCCACTCCCCAGCCGGTATTGCCGGGG